GGTAAATAGGAGGTTGGCCTTCCGAAGTAAATAGAGAGATTATGCAGTGTTCTTACTTGTACTTGATCTCATCAAAATTGATGTCTTCCACTGGAACAAAACCCTCAGTGGAAAGTGAGTGCTGCTTTACCTCAGGCATCGAAGGAAGCTGCAATAGACCATATCCCATGGCTAACTTTCCAATTTCAAGTTCTTTCCATCTGTCAAACAATCAAAAGAACTAATGCAAATGGAGTGGAAAAGGAAAAGTAGGAATAACTAAAAGATGGTAACATTAGAACCTGAAAATGTAAGAGCAATGGTGCTCCTTGTATGCACGGATGTATGAAACGAAAGCTCTAAGTCCTTTCTCCATGACATCACGGTCTTTCCTTGCAGCAGACCGGAACTAGAACAAGTTATAATAGAACAAGTTATAAAACATGAAGAAATGAAGATGTGGTACTGGATCAACACTTCCACATTTTAAGCAAGTATAATGCAGCCACCGTCAAAGTAAAGGACTAACTGCTATTGGCTTGCAACGGCTTTAGTGGAGCTAATACCTTATTTTATCAGGATTAAATGTTTTAGTCCTTCTAGGTATGATACTCTTCCAGACCAACACTTCCCAACCCAGGCCATGCCCCCGAAAATTGCAAAGATGATGCACTCATCCATTAGATGGCTAACCAATACAGTTGCATAATGCATATTACTAGAACAAAAAACAAACAGACACAGAGGCATTCCAGACAAAAGTCTGACCATGCAGCAAAGGCTGAAATGCAGGTTACAATCACATGAATTGTTCTAACCTGAGGAACAACATCAGAAGCATCATCAGAACATCTCCTCTCTTGAAGAGGGACCCTTCTCAGACGCAAGAATTCCACATAAGCTTCTTCCTGCATTTGCAAGAAAATTAGCCACCTTTACCAGAAAGGGCCAGAAAAGAAATTGGCTAACGGATTAAAAGCCGATATTACAATAAAATTAGATCATTGAAGTTCTCTGTTCAGAGGGATATAGAAGAAAATTTTACACCTTTGGGAATAGGAAAACAATAGCACTTCCTTGTCTACCCAAACGGGCAGTTCGGCCAACTCTGTGAATGAAGACATTTGGATCCTGAGGAGGATCATACTGCCAAAGCAACAGACGCAAAGACTGTCACTGCTAAATCAACAATCAGAAACAATAACAAAAAGGAAATGGTAATGAATCTCAACAAAAACTTTCAAATAATTGCCTATTGGTAATGTTACATAGAGCAAAATAAATTGTATATTGTAGGTTGTTATTAAGCTACCTGCACTATGCAATCAACCCCTGGAATGTCCAGCCCACGAGCTGCAACATCAGTACAAAGAAGAATGCCACCTGAAAGAGATGTAAACAAAGCCAACGCTTTCTCTCTTACAGTCTACTCAGTGCAAAAGGGGTGAAAATGTTACGATATATAATAACCAGCTAATGAAATTTTGAAGTGAGATATCTACAAAGCATGCTGAGCTCCAGAATTTACCTGCTTCAACTTCCCGTGAAGTGGGATCAAAGACAGACCCTTCAGAGCAGTGACATGAGGAAGAACAACCCCCCAGTAGTCAACACAAGCACATGTCATAAAGTATCTGCAGAGAACAATGTCTATGTAATAAAAAGCACATTTCATTGACTTTAGATTAGAATGACACTGCACTGTCCAAAATTTGAGAAACTAAACATGCATAACTTACATTATAATTTTTTTAGATTTGTTCTTAATTAGGAGATCAACAAGCTGTGATGGTTTCTTATCTGCCTCACACTCCAAATACTGCAGAATCAAAGGAAAATGAAAGGATCAGATATGATGCGCACCATAGAGCACTTGTTTTCATTTTTCATTTCGGGATATACATCTAATGTAGGAAAATTAAAGTAAACAAAGGCTACACAAGAAGCTTCGGTTGAGTAGAAATATGTTTGTCAGGAGAGACCCCTAATGTGGTAGGAATGTTTCTAAGAGAAAGCAAGCATTTTTTTAACAATAAATCTGGCGTATATAACATTAACTGCACTTGAAAACTATACCTCAAGGTGAAGGCCTGAAGGTGTTTTTGAGGAGGATGATTGTTGTGATGAAGCCAAATCATTTATTGACTTGGTTTCTGCTCGGACTTCAATCCTCACTGGGTTCCTCAGTCCTGCTTTTGATAGCTCTTCAACTGCTTCAGTTTGAGTAGCTGAGAAAAGACCAGTTCTACGAAGCTTTGGCAAACGAGAAATAACGTAATTTATCTGCTTCTGGAATCCCATATCCAAAAGCCTATCAGCCTCATCCAAAATCAAAATCTGTAGCAACAAAAGGGGGCAAACCCAATAAAGCATGTGCTGACAACCCATAAAATGATAACAACAACAAAAACAAAATAACTACCTCCAGGTTATGTAAATCCAAGACGTCCATGCGTTCCATTATGTCATACAGCCTCCCCGGTGTGCCAATCAACAAATTTGCTCCTTGTTCCTCTATTTTCTTCATGTCCGATTTCACCTCTCCACCTCCAACAAGAAGCATAGACTTAACATTCCGCAATGTTGAAATGAAAGGCTGAGCTACATTATAGATTTGTGATGAAAGTTCCCTCGTAGGAGATATAATTATCCCCATCACCTGTTGACAATGCCAATGCCAAGCTTAAAACCTAAACAATAGGAAGTTCTAATAACCTAGGTACACCATAGTAAAACAAATAAAAACGAACAAAGAACACATTACTCAAAGAATACTAAAAACTCCTTATAACGCGAATAGAACACAACAAAGCATCCCCAGGAGTAAACTAAGGGAAGTTTGAAAGCTCACGTAAACAGAACCCATAAATAACACTCCATGAAACAATATTCTATCAATCGAAATTCAAAAACATTAAACAAGCTCAACAACTCAAAAGCAATTCCTCGTCTTCAGCTATCAAAACAACCCAAAATCGAAACTTTAGCATTACTTCTCAAGTTTTTATAGCAGCAAACTAGATTTTTCCATTGCTTAACTTC